CCATTGCTAGACCTTGTTCTTGAGTGTAAACCACGTTGTCGAAAACGAAGTGGGTGAGGTTCAGGCATGCTTTTATGCCTTCCACTATTTCATCCACCGTGAGCTGTGTCCGTTCTGAAAGGGTGGTGTCCGCTAGTAGCAGTCGCTTAGCTATTTCTAAAGAGTCTCCTTTGGGCACATTTGTATATAATGAATTGACATCGAAACTTACCAGGATGTCATCTGGTTCAACGGTAACCCCCGCTACTTTGTTGGCAAAGTCATACGAATACTTAATATAAGTACTAGATTTCCCGGTGAGGGGTTTTAAAATACCGGCCAAGAATCTGGCCAGTTCATGCGGTGGGGAACCTTTTCCGTTTACTATCGGTCTCACCGGGATATCTGGTTTATGGATTTTTGGAAGGCCATACAGTCGTGCTTGGATCGCACTTTTGGGGTACAATGGATACCAGTTACCTTCCCCTATGTGGTTCATCACGGACCGCAAATATTTGCCAACTTCGGCTTTATTCCTATTCATTATAGATGTAATATTCGCATTATCGATCACCCGGTAAGGATCCTCAGCTGGGTGTTGCTTAACCTGTAAATAATCACTCTTGTTCATGGCAACAGCGGCCTTACCCTTATTCGCCTTTGTAATCACTATGTTGTCCACCTTTGTTAGGGTGTTTAAGGCTCTTCGCTCTGCTGGTGTAATATTTGGAATTCCTGGCTGCTGGGACTTGAGGACTGTGACTAGCTGTACCAGTAGCTTCTCCGCCTCCGTTGGCGGGAGTTTTTGGATTATTTGTTTTGGATTATTTCTCCCGCCCTTATCGCCCTCTTGCTTACTGCAAAATTCAAACCTTTCTCTAAGAGACAACGCTCCTCCACACTTAGCGGTCTGTTTGATAGATTTAGCACGCGACAATTGGTGGGAGGTTTTGGATAACAGATTCAACTCCAGGGATTACCTCTTCCGCCCTTATCACCCTTTTGCTTACTGCAAAATTCAAACATTTCTCTCTAACGAGCGTTGTCCCACTGCACAAGCAAAAGTCGCTGGGC